CACTTCGATTTCTGTTTAATTTCATTATACATACTTGCAACTCATTCGTTCATTTGTCATTCAATTCTATTCGGGTTAGCTTTATTTGTTCGTAGACATTTCGTGTTAAGATAATTACGGTCAGCTTGCGATGCGAATTCGAGGTCCGATTTAACTATTCTACGGTCGGGCAAGGTTGTCGTCGGAGCGTGTCGCCACGACCACGTGTCTAGGTTATTCTTTGCCAGAAAACATAGGTGGGTGTGTTGTTGCAAAGTTACAACAACTCGATTAAATTTAACTTTCCCCACGGGCGAGGCGCGGCGAGGTGGACGAATGTAACGGACAATGAGTTTTCGGTGCATCTCGCGTCGGTGCCTTAGAGAGCAGCAGCAGCAGCAGCAGCAGCAGCAGCAGAAACAACGGGTAGACTGGTCTAGTACACCGACGCGGCTACACACAAGCTGCGGAACACGCTCGTACATCCGGCGCGCACTCCACAAGCCGCGGAATATTGCAATCACGCGGACGTTAGCCGGGCTTTACAGCGAGTGCAGCCAGTGTATAGGGGCTTACCAGAAACCAGGGAGTTAGCCGAACACGCCGGTTTATTTGCTCGTGTAGCATAATACCGGCAAAGTCCGACGAGCAACTGCTGGTTTACTCGTTAGTGCGAGTAACGGGCCGTTTTACCGGCGTGCTCCGTTTCTGCCAACTCTCTCTCTCTCTTTCTCTCTTCCCTCGGCAGCATATCGAGCTAAACGTGCCACCGTTCCGACAAACTTTCCGGCCGTGCTTATAACTGGCCCACAACCACCACCACCACCTACGCTCTTGCTGTTGCTGACTCTTCAATTAAACATTCGGAAGTGCTCCACGTTGTATCTTCGCCGCGTCGCGCCCTCCCGGCTCCTCGTGATTATCGTTCACGGTTTTGGAACGTTGCCGCCCCTTCAATTCAACTTGACTCGCGTTGCTTTTGTTCGAGATTTCGAAAACTTGACGCGCTGCCGACCACGTAAATCGTATTTAACCAGCTGCTACGCCTTTTTCACAAGCCGTAATAATGTGTTCTAATTTAAGCTTCTGTAAACTTTAGGGAGGGAACTTTGAGATTTTTATATTTTGAACCTTGAGAATTTTATATTTGATATTTGGGTCATTTGAGAAAAATAGGGAAAAATGATTATCAAGTTTTGAAACTTATTAATTTTAATGAGACAGAAATTTGACGTTGATACCTTGAAAATCGTAATTTGAGATTTATAATTGAATTGTTTTTTCGCTGTTGGAACGTTGCCACTTGGTACGGATTAAACGGTGTATGAAAATTTTCTACGCTTTATCCTTCCTCGAGATTTGGATCGTTCAAAGTAGAGTTCAAATCGGTCCTCTCGTTATTTCGCAGATGAGATTTCGCGTGGGATATAGAGGTGTGTCTGTTTTTATTGAAATATCGCAGTCGGCAAGGTTCGAAACTCGGGGCGATAAAACATCCTCTTTATAATTCACGCTGTGCTTTCCCGTGGGTTGTAATGACTCGCAATTTCGAGGCGTGGGAGGTCGTAAAGAACAAGCTAGTTACGAGTAAACTGTTTATTGAAAGCAATAACAGAACGCCTTTTGACGATAAAGAAAGAAAAACTTTGGTATACAAGGCAATAAAGGAAGCCGACTGGTTGGATATTAAAACCGATCAATTATCCAAGTTTCCCCGGATAATATCGGTATCAAAGGAATTTCCTCTCGATAAATTACATTCCTTTTTATATTAGTATCATCAAATACAATAACGCGTGTAGTCGAATCATCTTCTTGCATCTATCAATCCCGTCGATGGTTGTTAGCTGCATCTGCATCTCCGATGTGCAAGAATCTTGGCTACCCCTGGCCGAGCGTTTTCTTCTCTCTCTCCCTCTCTCTCTCTCTCTCTCCTTTCTGCTGGTTGACGTTCACTTTAGCATAGCACGGGGTCGTGACACGCCGAGGCGAAGACGCGGATACTGTGGCTGGTAATATCGCGAAAGCCGCAAGAAGCTTTAGCAAAGTGCCTGCTCTTCGGCTGGTGCACTCTCGACTCGCGTCTCGACGCCGACGTTGTGCGTTCGAGCAGGCGTTCTTCGAGTAGCTCGTGCATGTGTATGCAGCCGAGCGTATTGTACGAGTACTGCTAAAAGCAGGCACACGGCAACATTCGCGGTATGAAAATGCAAAGCGACAAAGTGCCGCCGATAAAATTCTTTGCCTGTAAAACGGTGACGTGAACCGAATGCTCTTCCGCCACCTACTTCCATTTCGCCTTCCACCAGCAACACCGACGTACGTACGATAATCTAATACCCACGTTTCGACTCGAAACATCCGAGAAACCAGACGATCTTTACAATAGAGGAAAAAGATGATCACGAGCTGATTCCTCTCTTGAATTTTAATCCTTTTATCTGAATGTATGTATACACCGGATGTTTGAACGAGCAAGTTGGGTAGATTGTTTAAAAGGGGAACGACGTTTGTCAGAACGTTTCACGAAGAAGATCCGTTCGCAATCTGGAAGCTTTGGCGCTGAATAAAGCGGCTTTCGCGAGAGAAAAGGTACACGTAAGTTGGTCGGACGAACTGGCAATCTTCGCGGTCCAATTTGGCTTGCCAGGGAAAAATTCATTCTCTGCAAGGTTTTCATCTCACCGGTGTGAAATCCAGGACAATGAGGATTCGCAGCACCGAAACTCGACGGTTCGTTTCCCTATTTCTCCCTTGCTATCTTCACCCCTTTTCTCCGTTGCGCTGGTAAACCATCCGAGCCATTCATTATTTCCTTGCTTACCTCTTCAGCCAGAGAAAACTTCTTGGCAACGCAATTACGTTTGCACTCTACACTGTCTCTTCTTTCTTCTTCCTTGTCTCTCTTCGTCTTCGATGTCACGTTGCATGCATATAAACATTGTTAACAAATGAAATTGGTCTCACATTTCGAAAATAAGTTGAATAGGAAAAAGTTTCATTCGATAGCTTTAATGATAAATTAAACGCGTACAAAGATAGCGTTAACAAATTTCGAAAGAAGTTTCTCGTTGGCAGTGCAATTTGTACGATCTGTTGATGTTTGAAACAACAGAAATCGTATCAGCGAAGTTCTCTGTTTGCGGTAGGTAGAGCTCATTCGCGGATTGCGCGACTCATTTTCCCGTACGTTATAATTAGTGGTCTAATGACTAGCACTCGGCAGGGCGACGGGTAATTAAAACAACTCCCCGCGTTCCTGCCTCTTTCTCGCCTCCCTCCTCCTCTTCGTTCTTTCCGGACCCTCGTTTCTCCGCTCGTTCGTCAGCCCGCTCGAGAGAGGGAAACTTGCCAAGAATTTTAGTGGCCGCGATATTTCAATTAGCATCCGGGGCTCGTTTAAGCGGCAGTGAAAACGGCTGCTGCCAGGCCGCGACGAGACCTTCTGAACGAGAGAAAGAGAACAGAGAAGATAGACGAGGGTTGAGTTTACATCGTCTGCAGCCAGTTCGTATACGATCCCGCGTTTATGACTCCCGCGAAATGCCACTGTTTTCAACGTTGGACACCCGGTAGAAGAGTGTTGGCTTCCTGTTGCGCGACGAATAGCTTTCTTCCGTTTCCGTAGCTCTTCCTTCCTCCCTCAGTGTATATGTGAGTGTGTATGTATCTTAGCAGCGTGTGAAGACGACGGCGAGCAGGCGCCCGCTTAATGACTCGCGAACACCATCGCCAAGTTGTTCGCTCTGGTAATTGGTCCGGTTAATACTTTGACGACCACATATTTTCTGGAATTTTACGTTCTTATATTTTACGATTTATAAAATTATATTTGAGAGCTTTTAAAGAATGAAAGTTCAACGTGTTGAAAAAAAAAAAGAAATCATGTAAATTCGTTGTTTTAATTCATCAATACTGAACAATAACAGACTCGTGTGCCACTTAACGTCTGCGTTTGCCGATTAACCGAGCATGCTCGAGTAACAGTAACGACAAAATGGTCGATTTGTCGCATCGTTAACGCAAATTAACCCCGGCGAGAGTGTCTGGGGTGGAGGGTAGGGAGGACGCTGGCTCGATTATGCATTAATCGAATTATTATTTCCAATTATGCGGCGGCCTCATTAAAGTTGGAACCGATTAAAATTCGAGTCGAGCGAAACGCGACCCCTCGTGCAAAATTCACGGTGTTCGACGCGAGAGGGGCGCGGACGAGCGAGCAAACTTGCGAGAGAACGAGGGATGGAAATCGAGAATCGAGAATCGTCGGTTGTCCGGAACAGTTGACGGTTTTCCGGTCACAGCCGCAGGCCGACTTCTTTTTTTTCTACTCGTCGAACGACCTTAATTTCCGGCTGAGGTGGCAGCAGATACAGGTAATGCCCGTTGGCATGGGTTAGGACGAAAATTGAGCCGGGATGAGGAGAAAAAAAAAGGGAGACAGAGAGAAGGCCAAGCTACCGCCAATTCAGCTTGGATTTAATTTAATCCCCGTCAGTCTGTTCTGGCTGGAGGGTGTCGTAAACACCCTCGACCGGTTGCGCCGCACCTGCATCTCCACTCGTTTCCCTCCTAAGGGGGTGCGTTAAGTCAGCCCTTGCTTTATTTAACCCTTGCTTTATTTAACCCTCTTAATGGTAAGCAGTTTTTAGAAATCTACAAGTCTCAGGGAAGAAGCTTTGTTTAGCGAGATGAAAAACTTCTTACTAAATTTACACTGTAAAGTGTTAATTACGGTTGAATTATAATTAATACTTCGAAACGTTCTATCTCGTCGATTTATATTTGTACGATAAATCAAGCTTGGATCGCGTCGTGACAATTCTGTAATCGAACGGTCTCCATAAAATTCGAATGAAATAACATTACACGGGTATTTAATGTCGCTTGTCGCGTGGTTCGATGAATGATGCTGTTCGGATAATACGTTGGAGAATGAAAGAGTGCGATAAGGCGATGGAGGATCGTTACACGAAAGGAATTTACGGTTTAATAAGGATCTTTCTACTTTCTGCTTTCAGACAGAGATAGCGAAGAGGTTAAACGCCATAATTGTTCAGACCCTGCCGTTTCTCTCCCAGGAACATCAACAACAAGTCGCCACTGCTCTTGACAGAGCCAAACAAGTGACCATGACCGAGCTGAACGCCATTATCGGGGTGAGTGCACGCCAATGCAAGATAAATTACTCTCCGCGATGCACGCGAGTATATGGATCAATCGTATACGTAGAATACATACACAGGTATCGTGCAGCATCAAATGGCGAATGAAATATTTAACATATTCGATGGGACGAAAAACAACCGCATAGAAATCTTCCGATGAACGACTGAAATCGAAGTAGAATGTCTCCTAACGCGAAATCAATTTCCTCGTGTCGGGCGAGAGGACGTATTGATACGGTGCCGGAAGTGATTTGTAGCCACGCTGGTGTCAGGGTTATTTCCTGTGATTGCTCGTTATATCCGATGGAAGGATTCTAAATAAGTTTGAATCGCTTGCGATTCAAGGAAAAAATGATTCTCCAAAATGTGACTAGGAAATCGTTTATTTATCAATAGAATGATAGATTGTGGAGGAAAATTCTCGGGTTGAATAGAGCCGGATGTAAATCCTTTTCCTGGAAAATTTACGCAAGCTCGTGCAGAGTATCGTCGAGGTGAATAGAAGCGGGTCTGATTCGCGTTCAGCCCGGCGTGAAACGCATTCGCGGCGAATGAGAATCCCTGCCCGGTGGTAGGAGGAAGCCGATGCACGCCCGAGGAATCCGAAAGCGGACGGATGGATACGATCCTGGCGAATCCCGAATCCTCCTCAATATTGCTCGAGCACTCAATTTCCTCCCTATTAAGCCGCCGGCTTCTCTGCCGGTTCTCTCTTCCTCTTCCTTCGTTCGCTCGCTCGCGTTCATCCAGACCGCCTCCCTGATCTGCAACCCCTTTCCTCGACCCCATCCCCCCCCCCCTTTCGAATCTTATCCAGAGTCTTCCTGCCTGGTTTCCAGGCCGGATAGGTTATAGTGTTACGGAGCACGAGCACCGACTAATCAGCATTCCTGCTACCCAACTGCCTTCCTTCCCTTCACCCTCGGCCACCCTCTATCCTCTGCTTTCGCAGCTCTACCTTGAACCAGCCCCTCTTCGACCATAGAAACTTCCACGGATCCGCGGCGTTGTCGGGCTACGTGCGGCAAATCCTTAGCAGAATCCCCGGATTCCGCGCGCTTTAAATCGCTTCCCGAGCTTCCAGCAGCCTCCTCTTCGCTCTTCGCCACTTTCCTCTCCATCGGTCTTTCTTGTTTCTCTCGCGTTCCCTCCGCTTCTCGCGCCTTCTCGATGCCCTTAAATCCTTTCGGTTGCCACTGGATCGAAAGTAAGAAACTCGTAACGCTTCATGGAATTCGCAAACGCGTGCGTGTCGGCTCCGTTTCGCGCGAAACAAGACGCGAAATCGTCGAAACGTTCCGTCGTTTTTGCATCGCGAAGTTTAGTTCGGAAAGGATAAGTGTCATCGGTGTATTTATAAATTATGCTCGCTGATTGAATCTTCCAGCTGTCGCAATAGATTACGAACGAAAGATACGTGGATCGTTCGATAACGAACGTCCGGTAAAATAAGTCTATTTATAAAGCAACGAGATGATGCACACGCTCGTCGAGATGAATCAAGGCAAGATGCTGCTGACGTTCGTAATCTCTTAACACGAACGGCCCAGCCAAAGACGCTTTTCAGGCGTCAACGACGCGTGATATAGAAGAAGGTTAAGACGATCTTGTCGGATCTTTTAGCGGTACTATCTTCGCGGTTGGTTGAGTCAGCAAGTAGCGACACCGGTGAAAACTGCTGAGAACAAGCCTTGCACCGGTGGATGATGCAGGTGCCGTAAGACGCTCCCGCAGAATATGAAGGGGTTCGTAATGACTTCCTCTCTGCTTGTCACTCGTGAAAGAAGACCCTTTGCTCGAAGTGAAGAAAAGAAAAAGAAAAACTTTGACTTGAAATTTCTTACAATTTATTAGCAAAATCTCGCGATAGAATAAGGAAATAATCTGCATGCTGCAAAAGGGTTTCGAGTTGTCTGAGATACTCTGAATGCTGCTACGACAGCCTGAGGTCAGGATTATTATCGTTGAAAGGGTGGTAAGATCAGAACGTTTCCTTAGGTGACTTCCAACCCTCAAGAAGGTTCGCTCACGCCTTCTATCCCAGCCGTTCGTTGTTTCCTCTCGCTTCAGCCTGAATACCGGGCACATTTCATTCCGACATGCGCGCACACTGTTCCTCTCTCTGTTTGCGTGTTTTGTGGGTGGCTCAGACAGTCGCTCGACGCGAGGTTATTATATCGTTAAACCATTTAATTATCTCGGCAAACTACTCTCCGGAATATTCGCCCCGGTCTTAACGAGTGTACACGGTTCGCAGAACGGGGGATGGTGCACTCAGCCTTCATCCCTCTTTTCGTCTTCGTCTTTCGTGAAAATTCCTTCCTTTCTTTCCTCATCTTTCTTCATCTTGTTCTTCTTCTTCCACGTCGCAGTGTGTACTCGCAACGTGATCTGTCGAGCGTTAAAACGCTCGCTGCGTGGCTCTACAATTTGTCTGGCAGCGTTGAAACTCGACCTACGCCCCCTGATTCGGGCCAACTAACGAGGAAACTACTCGCGCGAGGCTGGTACGTTTATGGTTTCGCCAAAAACTTTTCTCCTTCCTCAACCCTTTTGCTCGCCACGGGGCTACGAAAGGCGGCACAAGTCCCGCCACTTGTTTCGTACTTTCGGATTTACCACGGCTCCCACCGTCGGTGAACGAGGGTTATTTAAAGCTGTACCACCCCCGTAAGCAACTTTGCTTCGTGATTTGTATGCCTCGCCTCGCTGGAAACTCGCGCAGCTCGTTACGAATGTCGAGCAAAGGACATAGTCTCGAATAAGCGACCGGGATGAAAATTAAATTACGTCTGAAGACGGCTTTCTTTCCCTCGTTTTTCATTGTATTTTGCATCGAACCTGTAACTATAACGTAATTATAAGCTCACGATAAGGGAAGCAATTATCTACTTTACACGGTCGAATAATTAATATTCCGAATGGTATCGCGATGTTGTGGCTGGAGAGGAGATAATAGAACCGCAAAGGGTTAACCCTCATCCGAACGAGTTGCTGATCAGAGTTTATCGAACGATTACGATAACAGCGGTCGACAAACGGAACCGTGTGTTTCATCATCGTCCGATGATGTCATTCGTCGTTTAATCTCGGTACTTATCTAAACGATGTGTTATCGCTTGTTAAGATTAGATTCTTGAACCGTCCATCGTGATTATCTGGAAATCTCGGTACACTTGTTCGATGTTACACGATAATCGTATATCAAACACAAGCACTTTAATTGTACAAGGTAGAAAAATCTAACTAAGATTGGATAACATCGAACATAGACGACGAATGAAAAATAATGTAAATTCTTTTCTCTTTTATGATTCAATTCCAAAACGTAAATATGAAAGATAGGATGTTCGTTGAAACGGTAAAAAAAAAAAAGAGCAATTGACCCGATTCGTTACAGCAACAGAGGCCAGACCTGCCGAGGCTTCTTCAGCAGGTGCACGCGCAACAGCTACCGCCAGGTGCCGCGATGGGTCCGCATCCAGGTATACCTGGACTTCCCGGACTAGGTCCTGGAGCTGGACTTCCTGTTCCGACGTCAGCCTCCTCTGCGGCTCTCCTCGGATTAGGTATACCACCGGGTGCAGCAGCGAGCGCAGGTGGCGCAGCTGGTCATCCCCTTTCGATATTGAACAAACCGGACCTCCATCGAGGTCAACCCGACGACTTGAAGCACAACGGAGGTGAGTCAACTGTTTAAACAATTAGTCGCAGTAGATGGTCGGTGTATCGCGACACGAGATATACCTGTTTCGTCGCGGCCGATTCGATTTACAAAAGTCGCTGATCAACTGTCTCGCGTTCCTTCATCAGCATCCTGCCGACGAATGTTTCTTTCGTATCGTAAGTGCTTCGCAGAAGCATTGCTGGTTAAATACGGTCGCGTTTCTTGCAACCCGGCTTCTTGTTTCCGCGCGTTATCGCGTATGAGAAGCGAACGCAAGCGGATCCTCGCCAGACGATTTCGCGGTTTGCATTCCGTTCGATTTCTCGCGGACGAACGAAACAAACCGCTCGTTCAGCACGCTCGAACACGGATCATGTTGAACAACAAAATAGCGGTATAAGCGTTTCAACCGGCCACTTCCTTTGCCACTTCTGTTCAACGCCGTTCAAGGCTCGTTTCCTCCTGCTTGTCGCAGCTTGAAACAATTGTAAATCGGAGGTGCGAGCAATCAAAGATTAATGAGATTAGTCTTTGAAACGTTGAAACATCGCGTCGAGTGACTAAGCTTCTTTATGATCGCAAGTAAATAGCGTATATTAGCTCGATAAGCGTTCCCGGTTATTTTCCGAAGCATTATTCATCGTTTCCTGACTCAAAATACTAATTCATACAATGCCTGACTCATTTCGCGGTTACAAGATAATTTTGCTTAACTTACCGATTACTCTATCACCCATTTGTCGTTACGAATAATAAAAATAACGAAATATTGAACATATTAGGAACGAATCTCCAGCGTAGATAATAGCCGCTGGAGATTTATTTAATACAGGGAGATTTCAATGTCCCGGCTAGCTGAATGGTCAGAGCAATCGCAGAAAAAGGATGGAGCTCGAGTCCCTGTTCAATAATCCGATTGACAGAATATTTTTCTCCCTATACAAGAATTCGCAGTCGATGAATCAATCACGGAGATTAATATCGTCGTTTCGAAGCAGCGGCGCGTCAAAAACTGCAATAACGAAGACCCTGTCAAAAGGATCGGATCGTTCTGTTGAAAATGCCAGATAGCAAGGATATTTCGAGCAGGCAAATTATTTTATTCAGATTCGTTTAGAATGAAATGGTAGGGTTTGGGGGTGGATTGAAAAGGCGAAGCATACAGTATCGAAGGGTTATTCGAAGCGGACCGCGATTGGAACGGTGACGCAAACGATCGTGCTTAAGCCTGAAACTCGCGGAACCCTCGATCTTGACCTCGAAGATGCACTCTTGCAACGGCGCGTCCTCGTCCCTCTCCTTGGGAGGACATACGAGTGCAAGAACGTTCGCACTTAGGCTCCATGTAGCGCTGACAAAGTCGCGAGGGCTTCAAGTGACTCTCCTATCTCGCCCACCTATACACGTACACAAGTTTCGTCATCCCTCGCGTTTCGCCAAACGTCTCTTGCTTCATCCCTCTCTTTCGCTCTCGTTCTGCATGGTCGTCTCTCAGGAGAGCACTCGAGAATCTCCTCTTGACACGAGAGTACTTCCGACTCTTCCCCCCTTTCGTTCCATCCACCTTTAGGTGGCTCTTCTAAACCTTCGCGCCCCTCAGCCTCTTCTTCCTCTCGCCCTTCCAGCCCCTTTTCTCTCTCTCTCGTTCATCCCGTACCTTTCTCAGTTTCTCTCTCTTTTCGTTTCGCTCTCCTTCAGCGCCCTATTCGCGCAATATTTCGAACTGCACTCCTCGCCTAACTATGTTACCGTCGGTATAACCTGCGGCCAGTTGTTCCGCGTTTTTCCAGCGTCCTCGGGTCGTCCTAACGAAACGCCGACCGATCTTCGTTTACCGGGTACGAAGAACTCTTTTGCTTGTTAGTAGCGTCCATTTTTCGCTGACACCTTTGAAAATGATTTTAGAATCGGCCATTTCTTCTGTCGTCGTCTTAGGTTAATTTCCGGTCTAGAAACTTCAAGGAAGTACGAAGTTCGAAGGTAGAAAGAACCATTGTTGGTGAGAACGAAGTTCAATCTTATTCTTTTCTGACACGCGTATTTCTTTTCACGACGACGATGGTGAATCGGTTGTTCGTTCTCCTGCAAAGTGATACTGCGATCGTAGTTGAACGAACAACCGCGAGACATCTGAAATCAGTGTGGTAGCGAGGGATGCTGGTTTTTCTCTGTGGGGAAGCAAAGGGGAATCTGGTCGACACGATTTCGCAAGGGGAAGCATCGAAACGAGTAGGGAGGCAAGGAACCGTAATGGGCCACTATTTCTGTCGCGGCAACTAGTGAAACTTCTTCCCTCCTTTCCGGAACATTGCCCCCAGCGAATTGTTTCCAGCAGGGCCGTTATCGTTTTCCTCTCCACCCAGTTACTACCGGGGATTCCGGCGTCGAACGACTGGCAGGTCCGTTCGACATAATATCTGCCCTCCACCATTCATCCGATTCTTTCTAGCCGCTCGTTCCCGAAACGATTTACCGGTACGCCAGCCGAACCAACTCGATGGGACTCTTTTTACAGACGATTAGAAACCGGTATCGTTGGCATTACCATTTCATCGAGGATACTTGGGCAAGTAATGTCCCCTCGGGAGATCGAGACCCCTCGAGCGTGTACGCTTCTCGTAATTCTCTCGGATATTTCTCCCTGTTTTCCTTCGATCGTTCGCTCGCGACGTCCGAAGAAAGAGAGTTTACTCTGCTTGGCGACCGGATCGTTAAACCGATCGGGGACTTATTTCGCGTTTATCGTCGCTACTTCACCCTTTTATGCTCTGCAAACGTTCTTATAAAGCGTCCATTCGATCGACGATAAATTACGCGAACGTAATGGATTCGTAACTCGTCGGCATAACGCGATGGAAATAAAGAGATTAATTTTTTATTTTAATTCTCAAAACCTTTCGCTGTCACGGTCGAAGCGTGCACTTCGTAAGAGCCTCTTCTTGCCGGCTGATATTTCCTGTTCTCTTAATGATCCCGCGAAAGGTGAAGCCGCGTTCCGAAGACGTCTCCGTCCGAGCATGTACACCGGCAAACGAGCTGTTCGCGTTTTAGTAGGAAATTATGCGCGCTCTTCCGCGTCCGTTTACGAGCCGCGGCAGGAAGTTCAACGATCCGGCCCAGGGAAAGAGTTGAAACTGTTTTCTCGCGCTGGCCGAAGCACGCTGTTATTAGATGAAACGAGACGAACGTTGCCAGATTTTCTCTCCTCCTTCTCGCTCCCTGGAAACCAGCTCGAATACTGGTCCATGGAGGAAAATTCACGACCCTTGCGAGTTCGCGGTCCGCCACCCCTCGAGAACTCGGTAATGGCAGCGAGGGTGGATCCTTCCGGCCGTACGCGACGGCTTTCCTTAATTTGCTCGACCATAAAACAGGCGACCGAGCCAGCCCGTTGCGGACTCGTGTTTTATCGACGCGTAAAGCGTGCTATTCCAGGGATTACTTTATTTGTAAATGGCACCGTACACGCCCGCGCATGGAAACTTTACGGCGTCGAGTTTTTCCGCCCACCCGCTGAGAACTGTATCCGTCCGAGGTTTCAGCGATTACGTTGGATTTTTTGTAGACGATGCAACGATACAGGCGTTTAATGCTCTCTCTATAACACGTTAATTCGTGTTTTGTAAAGAAAGTACACGGTAATTTTTGTTCTCGATTATTTCAGTCAATTCCATTAGGTGATGGCAATTTAAATGGTACCAGACGCGAAATTGACTGGTGTAGCCGTTAGGGAGGGTAAAAACAGCTGAAGAAAAGATATCGTTAAGATATTTGCTACGAGACAAAGTGTGCTTTCGAAAGGGATGAAGAACACAGGGGGTTTGAGGAAATCGAGCGAGGGCAAAGTAGGAAGCCGGCTTCTCGAGGACAAAGCTTCTCGTTCAGCATCCTTTCCAACCTTTTTCCCTCGACCCACCTTTTCTTTCATTCACCCTGCCTTCTCGGAAATCTCCTCGGCAGGTCTACCTTCTCTTTTTCGTTCTGCCAGCTTTTTTTTTTCTTCTCCTCCTCCTTCTTTCTTTTATCTCGTTCCCAGCGCGGAAAAGATTCTGCCGGCATACCGCTGACTCCGTCAGAGTTAGTTCCGCAATAATCACGAGAAACATTGTGAAGCTTCAATTTCCCGGGAAATACGGTGTCCCCCCGGAGGGAGACACAGCGGTGTTTGAAGTAGGGGAAAAAGTATGCGCTGGATGGATTCGCCCGGTGTGATCAACGGTAAATCTCGATAATTGTCACCGTGTTTCCTCCAATTAGTCTCGCCATTTCCTGAATCTGATCACGCGACGAAAGCAATTTTTTCCAAATACCGTCATCTCGATTAACTTTCGTGAACGTTATAAACAAAACGTAAATTAGATCTAACGATATAATTTTATTTGTTGCAGGTCTGAATCCCGCCGAGGAGAGGCATGTGAGTATCAAATAATTCGAGTAATATATAATTTAGCCAATGGGCAATCGATAACAGTCTATTAATATCAGGCACAATTATTCCGATCGTAGAGGAATTCGCGCGTAAATAGCAATATCGATACACGCGACGTCGAAATTCTGTTAAATCCAGCGTGAAATCGACGAATCTCGACGCTGAGCGAAACGATAATCTCATTCGAGAAGTCGATGAACTCTTCCCCGCGACATATTCGCTTGCTGAAAGACAGTGGCAGCACTTGTAGACACATATACAAGCAACACGTACCGATAACGTTTAATCTTGATTAAACTTATCGGCTATCAATCTCGATACTCGATTTACTTAACAATTTTTATGCAACGAAACAGTGTGCTATGTGTTGTAAAAAAATTTTCAAAATTTCTCTGCTTGTTTAAATTATTTTTTTATTAAGTCCTCTATAGCCGGTTGGAGGAATTAAGCAAACGTAGAACGATGATCCGCGAAACGTGCGCGATCGGATTTCAAAGAGGGTGGACGAACACGCGTCGATTTACCGTCGTCTACTCGTCGGGAACGATGGAAACGGATAGGAAGACCGTAAAATCCGAGCGTTTCCCGGGTTTTATGGTTCGCGTGGCGCTTCTCACACCTCGGGTCAGATTTTACCGAGATTGACCGACGGAATCAGAACAGAGAGCAGTATTCTGCTCGAGGAACGACTTTGACCACGTTGAATTTCATCTGGCGAAAGAAATTAGAGCGTGGCTCGGTGAAACAAATAAAATCGGTCGGGTGGGAAAGAACAGAGAAAGGGTGCACGGTATAATAGAGGGACGGAGGGAAGGAACGGTTGAAGAGGGTGAGACGCGTAAAGTGAATGAAAGTGGAAGAACGCGCGAAGAAGAAAGAGAGAAGGCTACGGATCAGGCTTTGGAAGAGGCGGAAACCTGAAATGGACGTAAAAGCCCCGAACAGCAGAACACAGGACCGTAAAAAGCTCGTCGTCGAATACACCCCCGTTCTTCTCCGTCTCGTTATCCTCTTTCTCTGCCCTGTTCGCGCCCTTTACCCCACCTTTGATAGCATAAAGCGCGGCTACAGGGCGCGGCGCGCGTTTATTAAAAGCGCTTCGGGCAGGCGAAAAAAGCTCGAGAGACAGCTCCAGGGGCCGGTGTTGCCGCGTTACGATCTCTCCAGCAGGACACGGGATCGTTTCGCGATCGATCCTCTTGGCAAGAAGTTCGATACTAGAGTAAATCGATTCAGAGGGAACTGTTATTCCCGATTCCCGTCGCATCGACGATCTTTTGACAGAGAAAATACCAAACGAGGAAAAAGAAAAGGATAAAAAATGAATTGGAAATTTTTGTCAGAATATGAAAGGCACGGGAAATTTTTTGACGTTCGAATTAACGAACTTCTCGCAGAGAAGGGATAATTAAGGTAAAATTATCAGGCACGTCTGGTCCTTTGATAACGATTCATTAATTAGTATCGTTTAGGAGGTAAAATTCGAAAGCGTATGATTTTAGTAAGTTTTTACTTATAATTGATAAAATTTGATACGACTGATACTCTATTAATTAATTGTTATATATAGTTCGCAAAAACGGTATTTGTGTAATTGAATCAACTGATACGATTCCTCGGGGTAGGACGATCATTGAATGAATATATCCGAACGTTTTGTAAAATTGATTCGCAATTTACTCAGAGTGGTTATATCGCTCGCGTTACATTTGTCCAGAGTGATTTCCAACGTAATTATCTTTTCGGCGTAGCTCTTTTCCGCACCCGTCATTACGCGCCGGTGTTTTAACAGCGTACACAGCCAGCATAACTTGCACAATTTACCGGCGGTGGCCGTGGCCCGCGGCTGGACCGATAATTAGCGTCCGTTTAATATGCACAATTATTACGGATTGATAATCGGGGCTGCGCATCCATTACACCAGCATTGAGATAGATGGTAATAGGTTTCCATCGGCATTACCCCTCTCTTTCTCTATTCCCTCGTGTTTCTCGCTTGTTTCCGCTCATCCTCCTCCTCTATTTCTATCTTTATCCTCGTGCTTTCATAATGTGTACGTACGAGCTAGCGATGGGACTAATTCGATTATCGTTCGAACATTTTCAATCGATCCAAGGTAATCCTAGTAATCATTTTGAAACGTCAGAAAAATGGACGAGATTCGATGAAAAAAAATACGCCTGTTTATTCGACAATTAACAAATTGCATTCGCTATTTTCCAATTTTTATTCTTTTATAATGCAGTAGGTAAAATTCATCGCGGCCAGGTGTCCTCGCTGAATGTGATATTCAATATTCCCGTGTAAATTTTAATCAAGTTGTTCCTCGATCGGTCTACTAATTTTTAATCGATTTTAATTTCATTTGAATCACGTCGCTCGTAATTTAAGTGCTAATGGACTGTTAATCGGGGCATCAACTTTTAGGGCATATAATATTCAAATGCAGCGACAGAGATTATAGGGGATGTAAATTATAATTATCAGCGAACCGGTGTTACGGTGCTATTAATATCGTCAATAAAATCAAACAATTGACACATTTTACCTTAATTAATTGCTGCACGATATCGTCGCGTTCGTCGACCGTTTGTTTTTTCATACCTTTATTAAAAATCCTGTACTAATAAAAATTTCCTATTAAGTGGATCACTTTTTTCTTTAATTTAGAGTCACGAGGGTGTTATTCCCATCGCTACCCCTCTACGTCTCTTTTCAATCTCTTCATCGTCGTTGTTCACACATCTCCGTCCCTCTTTCGGTCCTCCATTTATACCCCATCTTTCTCTCGCTGTCTCCACTTAATCCTCTTTCTCTCCCCATCTCTGTCCCTTATATCGTTCCCTCTCGCTTTCACCCTTCCATCGAACTTCTATTTATCTCTGTCCCGCAGCCTGGCTCGTCCTTACCAGGATCCCCGGTATCACCACGAGGCCGAGGGCTATGAAATTGAAATATGAATGCTAATGGGGTGGTTGGCTCGTGTCGCGTCGTATAATGTTACTGATTGCCGGTACGTCGGTCCTTTTACCCTTTCCCTCGACCCTTCGCGCTGTATCCCTTGTTTCGGATGCTGGGAACAGGGTACGTGACGCGTGTTTCGCGTCTTTCACCCTCGTCTGTCGCGTGTATAATTAGAACCCGAATTAATGATATTTTTCGACCTGATTCTCCCTGATTCGCGAGATAGAAACACGTTGCAAATAGCTACAAAACGCGCGATGTTCCTTGGTTTAAGACTCGCGAGAATTCAAGCAGCACCACTTTCACCGTCCCTTTCTCTCGCGCGAACCTAGCGTACAGAGATTTATATTTGTTTGTTTATCCTCGTTGGATTCTCTGGTTCCGGGCGCGAGCAAACGTTTACTCTCGAGCGAAACGGCTGCGTCGAGCGGCTGGCTGGATTACGAGCGACGCGGGGAGCAATTTAAAATTAACCCGGCTAACCGGAGCGAGCAAGATGCTCCGCGGGACGATTCGCAAACACGCGAGAACGTGCCGTGAAAGAGGGTTTTAAAGATCCGGCTTTCCGCTACTGCTTCTTCCTAGCAGAGGAAATGTAACGCGCGTGGAATCAGTTCAGAAACGTGACGTTCAGCACGAGGGGTGGGTAGAAAAAAATGCTTAGCAATGTTCTCTCCGAAGCGTCTTTAACTATACATTTTTGTTTTCCATTTCCGTATCAGAAGATAGAAACTTTTCTTTTTCCTCAACGATTCTCATTACCCGATTGAATTTTCATATTCTTTCACCTTTTCGCTGCGCAAACCCCTTTTTCTCGTTCTTCGAAATCCGCCACTTACCCTTTTTCGATCGGATCCTCGGAGCAAGCGTGCACGGTTTCGCGGAATCGTCGCGGAAAGGAATAAGGAAAAGCCGGATAGGGGCGGGGGGAGGAGGGAGAGAAAAGCTGGTATCGTCGAATGGAAAAGCGACGAGGAGAAAACGGAAGAGAACGCGAGTCGTTATTATTCGTGCACCGGTAAGCTCCGTCTTCCCGTTCCCGGAAGAAGCTTTTCTACCCTTCCCTCCGCTCCTTACACCCCCGTCCATTCAAAGCTCTTCTCACGACCCGAAGAAATATTTCCTCGCGCAAAGCGACGAAGCTTCTCGAGAGTGTACGCGCGGAGAAAAATACATAAAAAGTCAGACGAACGGCGTACGATGGAAAAAGAGGGTGAAAATGTCTGCTCGTTTCCGGTGTCTCCTCTAACTGGCACGAGTAGCCGAGGTGTGGACTCATAACCGATTCATGAAACACCGAGAAGAGGCGACTGTTCTCGCGGCTCGCGAGAGAAACGAGCCGAGAGGTAAGGAGGAGAGGAAAAAAAGGGCGGAACGACTGCGGAATATTTATTTATCGTCGTCGCGACGCGTCGGAACAGACGTGTCTTTTTTCCCTCTTTTACTTCTTTTCTTCTTGCAACCGGTGCAGGAGAGAACGAACGTTCACCGCTTTCGGTCGGTTAGAAGCAGACCGGGAAAAGGGAGAAAGAACGAGTGCCTCGAGTTGCACGAGCACGAACTTAATTGAATTTCACGATACTTACGGCCGATCCGAGTAGCTCGCGGCAAATTGTCGCGAAAGCGAGTGGCCCTCGATGCCAATGAGAAAAGTACTCGAGAAGCGACGGCGCATTAATTCGTTCGCGGAGCGAGAACGAGCGGGGAAGCGAGCTGACAGCGAGACACACGGCGGGAAACGAGTCTTTGAGGAGGGCACGATCGCGTCGCGTCTACCATTGCGATCGATCAAAGGCTCGTTCAATATATATTTTTTCTTTTTCTTTTTCATTCCGTTCACTCGTCGAGCCGTTCGAACGCGATCGAACGTTATCCGCGTCTAAATCCACTTTGGCGGCGGTCGCGTGTTTTCTCGCGAACCTTTCAGCGTTAATTAGAGGAGTGAGAGAAACAGGGCAATTGGGAGGAGATCAAAAGATCGTTCTCGATTATTATGATCGTCGAACAAAAGAACCGTGCC